CCATCGCAACTAGGATGGAGGCGGTCGCTCTTAGGTTGGAGGCCATCTCTTAGGTTGGAGGCCATCGCTATAAGGTTCTTTTCTTTCACTGTAAGGTCCTTCATCCACTGTCGCTGTCACCGGGTGTTCTATGGTCGCTAAGGCTCCCACCACGTGACCAGCCTTACACCTGGTGCTTCCGGTATCACGTGGGTCAAAGCCGCTAGAAACAGCGGTGATTGCAAGGCAAGGGTTTGACCTAGGATTTGCAGTGTATGCCTATAGGCTATAGGCATGCTGTAGGTATATGTTGATCTATGGTAAATGGACATAGCATACCTATATAGGCACATGCTATAGGCATGCTGTTCCATGGTGAAGGACATATAAGGACAACTGACAATGGGAACGATGTGCTTGAAGGATCCCATCCCACACCTCAGCATCCTTCACCGGTAGGGAGAAATGGTCGGACGTGAAGTGCCGAAGTGCACGAAGGAAGTAGCGCTTCTCGATTTCTTGATTGTGTGTGTGGGGGGATACATTCTCCAGCTTGTCTCAAGATAGCACGACTCCCAGTTTTTTGTAAGGATGGGACAGCCTAAAATCTGCCTGTGGACAGTGGTTCATACAACTTTGGTTGCCGTGGGAGAAGGGGTCCTCCAATTGGTGCAGTCTTGGCTTCGTAAGGGCTGAGCTTCGCTTGTCTACTGAAAACGAGGTGATTCTGCTTTGGAGCTGAGCAGCTGATCTGGAGCAGTTTGAGACAACGAAAAACGACGAGGACTCGGCCGGCGCTTTCCGAGGCCGATGCGTATGCGGCCAGAGGCCGCAAGTCAGGCCAGGTGATGCCGGGTGATGCCAAACCCAACCCTCGATAGAGAAGGATGGTCATTCAAACCCACACACTCCATGGGACTAGAATACATGCCTACATTGACCCCTAGTGCAACCCCCCCCATGTAGATCTGTTTGGCTATGCCAGTCCCAGCCACAACCATGTCTGGGACATGATGTTCTTCTGGCGGCCACGTGGTCGAGATGGGCACACGTCCCACAAACGGTCCGAAGCGGTTTGTGGTATTATATCGGGCTGAAATTTGCTCTGGTGGCTGCGGCCAATCAAACCAGCTGAAAATCATGAATCTGCAACTTAGTGCCAGCAGTCCCTCAAGAAATGATCTTCAAAAACGCACTGAGAAAAACGTTGCCCTGCCACGAGCATCTTGAGCGTCGCAAAGGAAAACCACCGGTTTGGGTTGTCGTAGACAGATCGCCCACCATCTGTTCCTCCAACGGGATTTCGGATTTGTATGTTAAACAACCCATCTCTACACTGGACGTTGCCTCACATCCATCCAATCCCATCAAAGCGCTTCAAGATATTTTTCGTCGCGCCGGTGCAGCCAGCCATCTCGCATGCTTTTGACGGTGCCAGCCACGCCTGATGGTTTCACACGAAGGTAAGTGTGTTCACATCACAATTGAAAAACCAAGTCAATTACACACCTAAAAATATTTGGGTGGCCGAAACAATGCAATAATAAACTATTGCAAAATATGTTCAGTTGGTTGAACATAAAGAGCGGGCAAATTGCAAACTCATTTTGAAAATAGACTAAAACACTGTCAATAAAATAAACATGGTGAATATCTGTGAATACTTCTCACAGCTTCACAGCGCCGGTCGTATTTTCCTGACCTTCCCTCATCCCTCCCCGCGCAATGAAACACCAAACTGCAGATATTCCTGTCATACTTACAGAATCAGAATGAAAGGAGAATGAGAGCAGAATGAAAGCAAATGAATGCAGAATGAAAGAACATGTAATGAACTCCTGAGGTGACTATCCCAACAAAAAATGGAGACGTACGCCCCTCCGCTTATCATTACGAATCTAACATGTACTAGTAGACTGGACTGAATGAACTGCATCATCAATGAAGTAGCAATGCATCTCCTGTTTTGTTGGTGTTTCGGCAGGTCGTCAGAGTGTTCTGAACTCTACGAGGAAGCACTGTTGTTATTGAGCTCCATCTGGGTGACAAAACGGGGAACATGATGACTGACAAGACTAGGAACATCTGGTTGCGATTCGTGGTCGGCAGTCGAATCGACTCCACATGACTTTCACAAAACAGCGGTTGTCAGCCGTGCGGTGAGCCTGCATCGCGACGTGTGGCCTGCAATGTGGCCAATTCCTTGCACACCAAAAAATCGGACGTGGACGTACGTTGCACCGAACCTTGACTATCATGACTTTGACTTGTTGTCTTGGGCCTTTGATTGTGTCCAATACTAAGGCCTGTTTTCAAGGCCATACCAGTTGCTTGATTGAAGTGATCAACAAATCTACTTGAAGTGTCTAAGACTTTTTCCTCTGAGCACACAACCTGCTCATGTACCAAAGAAGGTCTTAGAATTCGCTGACCCTGAGCCTGACGAGTTTGACTCATTTCAAGAGGCGTGTTCTTTTTCAGATCCTTGAAGCATCCCAAAGAGGGCGTCCCCGGGTCCCCGGAGCTGTTGCTAAACGGACATGGCGCACGTCACCTTTCAGGTCCGGTACCCGCTGTCCCGCTGTCCTCACGCAAGAGCAGCACATCGTAGAAGGTGGATGCACGCCTGTCCGAAGAGCTGCGATCAGCTCGAGAAGCTAACGGGTGAGGACCAGCATAGCCAGCAACACTTGACAATTGTACAAGAAAGAATCGGAACTTATTTGAACAAGGTGATTTGTATCTGAAAGGCGAAAAAGACTTTGCAACAAACGTGGAAAAAGGGGTCATTCTTCACCAAAAGAACCTTGATATAATGTTTATACATGTTTATACATATACTTGTACATACATATATATATATATATATCTTATCTTACCTTGTTTGGCCAAGCTGCATTGTCGTCAACGCTGCCAGCTCGCTACCTGACATGGCGCCAGCGAAGCCAAGAACGTTTGGAACCACTTGTGATTCACCTCGGTTTTCGCGCCATGCTCGGTCAGCGTTTGTCTGACTGCAGGAAAATGGCCCTGCTTTCACAAGAAAGGTAGATGAAAACTCAAATAACAAAAAGCAGTATCTCAGGGCAACTCTGACATGTGGGCCTGCTTGGTGTTCACTCTCCAAGTGACCAGCCAGCATCATTTCCTTTTCCATGTTGTTCACCTGTATTTGAAGGGCATCTCTTTCTTCCATGGCGGCCTCCCAGCGTCGTCTCAGTGCCATATTGTCCTCACAACCGGCGTCCGCACAAGGAGCCTCATGAAAACAAACAAACTACAGTACCAACATACAATTACAACCTTGATTCTTGATGTATCATTGATGTGTCTTGCACAAGTCTTGCACGTGTTTCGGTCAACAACTCCATTCTCTTTAGGACACTCCGGTCCAAAACCACCGGCGTCCGCACCGAAAAATAACATTGCCCGTCCTGTCCGCTTTTCGGAAAATTATATTTCTAAACCAAGAAAAGATGACTTGTAGCTTCCATAGCTACGAGTAACTAGTAGCTTCTAGCTACTTGCTACTTGTTATATACTAGTAGCTTTGCCCTTGACACTGCCAGGTCTCGGAGGTGGCCACCTGCAACGCGGCCACCGCCTCGCTGAGTCGCTCCGCCCAGATCTCTCCGCTGGGGCCGCCCCAGGGCCGCGGCTCCGCTGCTCCGGACGCGGACGCAGGTGCCGTAGACGCGTCCGGTGGAGTGGAAGGCGTTTCGGAGCGCTCCTTGTCCTCAGGATGTGCGACACTTGAGCAGTCAAAGACAGCCCGCGCCTATTTGCAGCGGATTCTTAGGTCAAACCTTTGCCATCAATAAAGCATAATAAATCATAATCAATCGATCTTCTTGTACTGACGAGTCTCAATCCGCCTATCAGGCGGCGGAGATGCTGCGGGAGGCATTTTGCTCGGAGTCACTTTGACGTCATCGTTCGCACGACGAGGTGTTCGATTCTGCTGATGCTGGACACGCTGGGAAGACTCTCCAACATCAAAGACAAATTCTGGGACATGGGTAAGGTCACCTTGTAGAACTTCTCTGGGAATGGGCTTTCCCGTCACCCGGAGAACGTAGTTCTCTGCCAACGATAGCTGTCCTTTGAGAAATTGGACTTCGCGCCGCAGCTGTCGAATGAGCAAGGTCGTTGGATCAAGATTCACAACAGGTCGGTTGCGTATAGAGCCAGCTGTACAGGCATACTGGAGTGTGGAGACATTCTCCTCGAAGTTTGAGTCCAGAATTGAGAGGCAGGCCAGCATCAAGGTGTAGCCAGACCCCCCAATGGCATCGCGCAAAAGGATTGTGAGCTTGGATTCGCGGTACGGCACCAGCAGCTTGTTGCCCTTGCGTTTGGCCAGGCACATGATCACTTTCCGCAGAACAAACAAGGACTGGTTGATGCCAACACTTTCTTGAAGAGTTCGGCCGCTGGCACCTCAGTTCGGCCGCCCGGGTGACCGACTTCGGCGGTCAGCTTCTCTAGAAGCTGAACGCAGTTAGGAGAGTTGGGTATGTTAGGTAAGAATGATGGTCCTCTTCTTTGCTTTCAGGACCATCCAGCTTTTGCCTACTCATGATGCTGAACAAACATGGCATGCTTGGAATATGACATTGGAAGCCCATCCCTGTGTGACCAGGTCGAAGACGCTGGCAAAGTTCGTGACTCATTGAAGGTGCGTCAAACACTGTGGACCTGTCTTCAAGGATTTTCTGCATGAACCAAAGCAGCACCGATAGAGAAGACGCACAGGGCAGACGTCCAAAGCTGCAGCCCCACGATCCTGGACAGAACGTGATAAGAACGTCCGAACAAACCTCCAGTTTCTTGCAGAGGCACCAGTGATTGCTTGACGTTCTGACCCTGCTAAGTCGACCAATGTCAACTTGGAGACGCGGTCGACAGAATGATCACTCCTCCTGCAGACAGGCGTCGAACAGAAGTGCTATTGTAATTGCAGCCAAGTGGTTGGTGGGTCCAAAAGGAGGCCTTGGGTTCTCTTGATGGGGGCTTCACTAAAAGGGCCCTTCTTCCTTTCTTCCCCTATACACTGTTTTCTATTTACTATTTAAATCTGTTTGAACAAGGTCTTGGAAGCTTGACTCATCCGCTTGTCCCCGCTGGTCCTCTCAATCGTCAAGGTCAAGACAGAGTGGGAACGGCTGCTGGCCTTGACGGGATCCGATCGTCCGTGGGGACCCTATCACAAAACAAATTCCATATCAAATCTTCGGGGTCGAATCATGTTCGTTTGATTTCCTGAGATCTTTGTTTTGGTGGTTGATGCCGAGAGAAGGCACGCTTTTGGGGGGTACATACACTTCAAGGTATGCTTTGGCGAGATGCTTTTGGGGAATGCTTGGCCTAAGGCGAGCATGACTATTTTGAATGACTCTGGGCACTGGGCACCTTCATGATATTGAACATGACATAGAACTACGGATCCGCTGCTTTGTTCATCACCCGATCTCCATTGACAGAATCAGCCACATGGCGACTTCGTTCCAATCCTGCCTGGTTCATTTGGTGACTTGCCACGGTGCGGTTCTTGACTCCGGCCTCGCAAGGACCCACGTGCATCCGGTACTGCAAGCTTGGGCAGCCGTCTGAAGTGCGTGCCTTGTAGTAGTTGAGGGCCTCTCCTGGAGTCCTCGGTCTCTCGGGTCAACTAGTGCCAAAGGCAACACCAAGCACGGCAAATGCTGCACCACCCAGATCATCCTAGATCTTGAGAACGAAATTGTCAATGTTTCACCAATCATCAATATCATTATGATACTACATATTTCTACATGTCTCTACATGAGTGTGTGTGTGTGTCTGTGTGAGTGTTTTCGGGGGCCTGCACTCGAAGACGAAGAGGTTCTCCACGGACACAGAAGACTCACCTGCAGCGCAACAGGATTTCAGTCTGGCACTCTCCAGATTGACGGGTTTCAGTTGGATGAAAAAGTTTCAGATTGGCATGCCTTCAGTTGTTTTCTAAATGCTCAACTTAGAAGCTCAAATTTAAATTCAAAACGACTGGCCTTTTCAGCACTATGGCTGAGCAAGTGAAACCAATATCGACATTGCCACCGCCGATGCCGATGAGACATGCAGTGAATTTGACATCTCAAATGCCTTGTGCTGCATGGGATCTTTTTCGGTCCCAAAAAGCAGCCAGCCGATCTAGCCCAATAAAATGTTGCGAGGGGCTCTTGTATCTACTGTCCGGCGATTTACTGATACCTTCTCGTTTGGGTGCCAACTCTGTTCATAATCTATCTTTGCAGCTTTCCGGTCCAATGCTCGCTGATGCTTCTTGAACTTCCCCTTCGGCCCCTTCTTGTCTTTCTGATTCGCCATGGCATCCGCACCCGTCTCTTCATTGCCTTGCGCTGTGCTCTTTTGGAGCTGTCGGTGAGCTTCATTTTGCCTTTGCCATGCAGTGCTGGCCATGCTTTCAATGTTAATGGCGGACCATGCTGCAGCCATGACATCACACACAGCCTTCCTGAGTTCTTCAGCAGCAGCATGGCAACCAGCATCATGGGATTTTCCATAGCTCTTTTTCCACTGCCGCCATTTCGTTCTAAGCATTCCCTTGAGGTCTGAATTGATCGCTGCTGCAATGTTCGTGGACAAAATGTTCATTGACTCATCAAACGCCTCCACCAATGCATCAGGTGTGTCTTCATGTGGATTGCCAGCCATAAGAAAGAGTCGCAAAGACTCAGCATTGGAGACTTCCCATGTGACCATTTTCAGCTCTTTGTACACATCTTTCAGTGTGGACTCGTTGTGTTCATCATCCATCGATGCCAATTTGGCTTCCAAAGGTACAAGTGCTAAATATGGAATGAGAATCTCCCTCTGCCATCGCTTTAGGTGATCACACACGTACACCTTAAAGGTGGCAGAACTCTTGAGATTCGGCCGCGCCTGTGGCATGAAGCTTTGCTTCAAAAAGGTGCAGAAATCCAGCGTTGGTCCAGGCTGTTGACTATCGAGGTCCGTGTCTTCGGTGAACACCTCACTGCCTAGACCTTCATCCATGTACACTGGGATACGCATCAAGGAGAACTTCTTGTATGCGGTCGGCCCCAAGCAAATCCCAGCTTGGCTTGATCGAGCAACACAAGCTTGAGAATGCCCCCAAGACTTTTCCTCAGCTTTCCGTGGCACCGAGCCAGTGGAATGGGTCAGCCTGGCCGACCCTGAGCCAGCATCAATGCTGTACCTGCAGAATGTCAATTGCCAAATTTCATGTGATATACCACCAACAACAAAAAACAACAACAACCACAACGGCAACAACAAGACAACAACAAACAACAAACAGCAAGCAACCAACCAACCAACCACCCAACCAACCGACCGACCGACCGACCGACCGACCGACCACCTTTTGAAGCTCTTTCAGAGTGGAGTGAACTGCCCAACTTGAAATGCGTTATGGGACTCATGGTGCAGTGAACAGCCCTAAACATCACGTGCCAAACAAACCTACCCACTCAGCGTCAAACAGCCACAGCCACAGCGACGACAACAACAGCAGCAGCAGCAGGAGCAACAACAAACAACTCTTGCTTATATATTTAGCATTCTAGTACCAATGTGAATTTGCAAATGGTGTAAAGCTGTATATATTGTATAAGTTATTTCAGCCCGAAACAAGAAGGTATAGAAAGAAACACTCTTGATTTCACATCAGTTCGCTCGAAGACTTCGTCTATGTCTGCCGAATCTTGGAACACCTTCAGAGCATTCAAAGAATCACGAGCCATCTGCGCATCAAAGGCTGAGAAGGTTGCCAGCGAGTGCTGCGTGGTGGAGGGCTCATGCACATATGCACAAGACTGGCGGCAACCGCTGCCTTCGGCCAAGGCATCTAGGACGAGTTCTAAATGCTCAGGACTCACAATAACGTCAGACTTCCCTAAATTCACACCCTCAAAGGCATCTTCAATCTCACCGGCTAAGGCTGAGTTCACGAAAATATGAGCCCCGCGAGCCCATGAAGGCGTACATGAGAAGCTTTGAAAGTTCATGCCCCTACAAACGTCATACAATTGCATCTGGACAGGGCTTAAATGCGCATGGAGCTCTTCCACGAGCTGTTGCAGTACATCATCTGATTCTGATTCTTGCAATCTGATCCTCTGCAAGTGCTGCTGGCAAAGCTGTTGTCTGAGCTCTTGCCCTAGCTTCGCGCACAGGTTATTGTAGCTGCCACGGACCCTCAGCTTGTACACCTTGTAGTCCATGACCCGACGTTCCTACCTTCCCATCCACACTGTTGAGCATGCGGCTGCCGCAAGGGCCGAAACAAACCATACAATTAGTGATATGATGTGATATGGTGGTACCCCAACAGAAGGGTGTTTCTTTTCCTGCTAAAAAAAATGATGTAAAACATGTCACGCAAGTCCTAGATAGATCTTTCATCAGCATGTTGAAGCCTAGCAGCCTTCATTGAAAGGGCCAACAGCCAACAGCCGCCAAAAGTTGTTCCCTTTCTCTTCACTCTTTAATGGTGTCTTGCCAATCTCAGCAGCAGGCGTGGATTCCAGTGGAGACGTAGGCCGCCCAAGCTGTGATTTGTAAGGTGCACCGGGTTCAGCAAATCGAAAATCCGCCTGACCGAGCTGGAAGCCTAAAATAAAGATACTAGGCTGGAGGCCATCGCTACAAGGCTGGAGGCCATTGCTATTAGGTTGGAGGCCATCGCTATTAGGTTGGAGGCCATCGCTACTAGGTGGGAGGCGATCGCTACAAGGCTGGAGGCCATTGCTATTAGGTTGGAGGCCATCGCTATTAGGTTAGAGGCCATCGCTACTAGGTGGGAGGCGATCGCTACTGGGGGTGGAGGCCATCGCTGGTAGGTTGGAGGCCATCGCTACTAGGATGGAGGCCATCGCTCCTAGGTGGGAGGCGATCGTTACTGGGGTGGAGGCCATTCCTCTTAGGTTGATTGTGCTTGAACTTGGCACCCGATAAAAAGCCTTCAGCAAAGAGAGGAGAAGCTATCTACCCTAGCGAGGATGTGTGATGAAATATGTGACCAAATCCGAATCACATTCCGATGACTTGCAAGCCGAAGTTCTCATTGTAGATCTGCAAGAAAGACAAGCGGAAGGTGAAGCTGCAGTCACCTCTGCCAGCAGGTCTGGCATATTTTGCACTTGACCCGGCACATGCAAACACCGTTGCATTGCAGGTATATAATGGTATACAGGCGTGTGGTTTTCTCACTGTGACATAGAGATACATAGAGGCAGGGGCTGCATGCACCTTTTGCCCAATGCACACACAAGCTTTCCATGCAGCTTGTGACTTCCTCGTTTGTCTTGTGCATAATGCATCGCACCGTGCTCCACGGCCTTACGAAGGACCCAACAAAGCAAAATTTACCTCCGCAGGTGTAGTTTTGCGTATAGGTCTCTTGCCCGTGTCTGCGTGTGAGACTCCCCACGTGGTGGTCAGTGGTTGTGGACTATTGTGTGTTGGACCCTTTTTGTTGACGGGGTGCCTGGCGTTGGTTGGCGGGGTCGGATGATGAGTTTTTCTCTGCTAGCAGCTTTGTATTGTGAAAATGGACCACGCGGCATGCCTACGATTTCCTAAGCTCCTCAGGTAGCTACAGGAGTTCCTTGTGACCTCCTGCCAAACAGGCTGAGGCAGGCACCGGCCAAACTTTGCTGCTCCATACGTTGGAAAAGGCCTTCAATGCAGCGGGGGACAATCCCCAGCTTCTCAGGTGCCGTCAAGGCTGGCTTCACCTTGCGCCGCACTGCCATCAGCAACCCCATCTGAAGGTTTGGGGCATCAACTGTTGTATACAATCTATACCTGAGAAGGGAGAGGACGAAAGCCGGCCCCCGTAAGAAAACATACATGTGGTTATGGGGTGAATTCCACAGCGTAGTAGGCTTGCTGTCAAACATGGGGAAATAGAAGGCAGCGAGGCGGAAAGTCTTACATTGAGGGCCGATATGATAGGCTCTTTATACACAAGGTTTTGATCAAGCCCCATCAGCGGTTGTAGGATAGAAGTGGAGCCCATGCGTTAGGAGAAAGGCTGAATTGAGCAGGACATTTGCAGTTCGGGGGACAAATTTTGAATTGAACAGGACATTCACAGGTCGGAAGGCCTTTCTCTTTTGGCTTAGGGGAAAAATGTAAAAAACGATTGAGTGAAGTTTTCTAAACTAATATCATAGCAGTATAACAAATCAAAACTTATTCATAAACAAACATAACAGTCCAAAAAGTCAGTTTAAATATTGTTGATTGCTTCATGTTTCTCAACAATATCAAAACATAATTGCCTCATTCAGTTTTTCAAAATCATAGCAGTCAAAGCATACTTACCTCATTATTTGTTCAAAATCATAGCAGTCAAAATACAATTACCTCATTCAACCTTTCAAAATCATTGCAGTCAAAGCATACTTACCTCATTCATTTTTCCAAAATCATAGCAGTCAAAAGCAGTATTACCTTATTCGTTTTACAAAATCCTATCCATCAACCGTTCCTAAATTCCTTTATGCTTATCTGTTTGTAAATATAATAACATTGTGAATTCATTGATGAACTGCATACACTACAAAAGGCAACTTTGTCACGATAGTTTTGTATTTGTTCCTGTTTCTTTTTTCTATATTCTTCATGTTCTTTATATTTAGTTCTTCGTGTTTCATTCACTTTATCTTTATGTTTGTCATAGTTCTTTCTCTTGTATTCCAAGCATTTCTTACAAGTCTTCAATCCATCTTCAAAAATATCAATTGGTAAATCTTTAACACAGTATCTTCAAACTTTATCCATTACATATAAATATGATTATCTTCTTACATGACTTTTTCAAGAATTCCTAACAACCAAAAAACAAAAACAAACCAAGCAAAGAACAATATATAAGACAAAACGGCAGACAACAATAAAGATAAACCCGAAACCTTTAATAATCCGATCTTACAAATCCATAATTCTAATAAATAGATATTATTAGAAATATGTTTGTAGTAAATATCTTCTATAGTCTATAATTATTTTTTAAAATGAAATGCTTGTATTATGTCTTCATCTGCTTTATTCAATACATTGTCTATATTATCTTCATCTACATATTCATCAAAGTCATTCATGAAGTAAACTTCTCTATAACTAAATTCATTGTCTCCAAATTCTTTATCTGAGAGTTTTGCTACTATTTGGACTTCAATATCAAGTTTAAACTCCAAAATCTAAATTATTCGCTTCTACTTCTTCATAAAACAAAGGTAGTAATTCGTCTTTTTCTTCTGTTATGATGTTTCCCTTACTTTTTAAACTAAAATACAATACTCAATTATATACATGTTGTTTCTTTGTCTTATCTTTCTGTTCATTTTCGGACCAAGTCTTGAAAATTATATTTGTATAGTATTCTCTTCAATGCTTTCCTATGCTTTATTTTCACATATTCAGGTTCGCCAATTTTATAAGAAACACTTTTACTCAACACATCAACAGGTAAATCCTGCATACAATCCATCCTACTAATATACTTAAATAACTATTCTTTAAGTATATATTCAAGTAATAAAATAATAGAGTTCTCTAAAATCTACGTACAGATACATTAATAAAAATCATACTGTTATATGATGAACAAAAACTACAGACTATCTATTGAATACTAATACAGCATAAAAACAAAAAAAGAAGAAGAGAATTAACGTCAATAAAAACAGATGATAAGAAATTCAGATACAACAAAGACAAACCCATATCAAATGTTTTAACAAATAAATTTTTGTCAGTAAAGAAAACTAATGAATACAGAAGCTATGCTATGAAAAAGGCAACGGATGTTGTAAGTAGAGAAAGGGTTAGGCAATTAATAACCAACACGCCACAAGAAATAAATTTAGGGTCAGAGATATGCAATCAGCATTTAGAAGATACGCTAATTCAATAGTTTTAGAAAATAAACACTTTCAAGGAGAAAGGGGATTAGAAATGATTGCGCACAAAAAACAAAGACTATCATATTTTTTAAGGATTAATAGAAGCATGAAACTTAACATAAGAACGGAAGGTTTTCTTTGAAAAGCCTGAATACGATGATGGAGAAAATGAATTAGGACGTCAGGAACTTGTATATGCCCTACCATCAACCCGCTTCAATATTAGTAATGAGGATGAACAGACACAAGCATTAGAAGATAGTGTTATTCAAATCCGATTACAAATATAACCTTTAGAAGGTTCAACATCTAATTTAAGAGTTAAAAAGATTTTATCAATAAATATTCACTATGACAAATATACCCCAACAAGAGCAGGGAGATTCATCGAATTACCAGAATGGATTAAACTTAAAAAGGCATGTGTCAACATTTAAAATCAAGACCAAAAATGCTTCAAATATTGTATTCAATCCAAAGTCTATGACAAAATAAGCAAACATCACCCAGAGGAAATGTTCCACTATAATAAACAGAAAGATGATACTTTGAACTGGGATGGTGTACATTTTCCAACTGGCAATAGGGACATTGACAGATTTGAAGAGAACAATATATCAATTTCAATAAATGTGTTTGATCCCGATGACTTCTTAAATGGTAATAAGATTATATTGCATAGAGGCACTAAAAATAGAAATGCTAAAAACGAAATTGATTTACTAAAAATCTATGATGAAGATACTAATTATCAATATGTCTTAGTTAAAAACAAGTGCAAATTATTAAACTGTCAAAGCAGTAGCAGCACAAACAAAAAGTTTTACTGCCACCATTTTTCAAATCCCTTTCAATCAGAAAAAAGGTATATAAGAAACATCTTGAAAACGGATGTATTGCATCAGAAGGACAACAAACAAAGATGCCTGATAAAGACACTTATATAGAATATTTGAAAAGCATAATACTAAAGTGCCTTGTCCTTTTGTAATCTATGGTGATTTTGAATGTCTAACGACTAACTCTCAAAATGGTATAAAAGGCACAAAACAGGAACATAAACCATGTGGTTATATGCTAAATGTAGTAAGCAGGATTGATAATACATGCCAACCGTATTTATATAATGGTGAGGACTGTATGAAACAGATTGTAGAAAAACTGACTGAAATTAAGAAAGATATATTTGAAAACATGAACGTTAATAAACCGATGGACTCCATCCGATGGACTAATTAACGAACGAACAAAAATTAGAGTCTAAATTATCGTCTGGTTGCCCCATCTGCGGTAAGAAATTTAAACCTGACGATGAAAAGGTTCGCGACCACTGCCACTTCACAGGCAAATACAGAGGCGCAACGCATGTAAAATGTAATTTGGATTATTCATTTAGGTATTCTAAAATCCCAGTTTCTTTCATAATCTTGAAAAATATGGCGCTCACTTAATCATAGCAAAAAGCAAATGAACTAAACATAGAACTAAACCAAAACAAAAGAATAGATGTAATAGCACAAAACAGTGAAAAGTTCAAAACCTTTTCATTTGGCGCTTGTCAGTTTAAAGACAGCTTCGCTTTCTTAACTGCGTCATTGGATAAGTTAGTTAGATTAAACAAACATGAAGGAAATCAAAAGATTAAAGATTGGGAAACTCGTTTCAAATATACAAGCACCAACCCATATATCAAATCTAAAACTGATTTGAATTTGCTGACTGATAAGGGTGAAAATCCCTATGACTACATGAACTCATGGGAGAAATTCGATGAAACACAACTACCAAAGAAATAATATGTCTACAGCAAATTAAACATAACTGACAAAGACTACACCAGAGCAAATATTGTATGGAAACATGTTAACATTAAAAACCTTGGTGAACATCATGATTTGTATTTGATGACTGATGTATATTTACTCCCTTTTTCTTGAAAATTTTAGGGATATGTGTTTGAACTATTATGGATTAGACCCAGCGTTTTATTTCACTTTACCTAACTATTCTTGGAATGCCTGTTTATCATTGACAGGAGTAAGACTACAACAAATACACATAAAAGAAGTGTATGAGATGATTGAACATGGACTAAGAGGAGGAATGACACAGCGCTCCTTTAAGAAAGTAGAAGGAAACAATAAATACATGAATGAATATTATGATAGATCTAAACCTTCATCATACATAAGTTATTTAGATGCTAAAATCCTTTACGGATGAGCAATGTGTAAGAAACTGTCATATGGTGATTTTAAATGGTATTACGGTAGAATGGATGAAAAGAGAGTAATGACATATAGTGATGATGATGTAGGATACATATTAGAAGTTGATTTAGATTATCCAAAAGAACTACATGATGTACATAAAGACTATCCATTAGCACCTGAAATCCTGAGTATCAATTAGAAAATGCTTTCAAAAGTCCAGAAGGATATACAAATATTAGTATGGAAAAGGTGCAAGTGATGAAAAAACAAATAAGTTAGCATTAAAGGTAATGGATAAAAAGAAGTATGTTTTACACAAATCAGCATTGAAATTCTATCTGCAACACGGATTACGTCTTAAAAAAGTCCATAGAGCAATAAGTTTCAAACAAGCGCACTTCTTAAAACTATTCATTGAATTCAACACTGAAAAGAGAAAGAATGCCAACAATGACTTTGAAAAGATTTGTTTAAGTTAATGAATAATAGCGTATACGGCAAGACCATGGAGAATGTAAGAAAGCATGGTGGTTTTGAAATTGTCAATACGCCTGAACGCTTCCAAAAACTGTTAAATAAACCGCTATTGACACACAGTCATATCATAAATGAAGACCTTGTAAATGTTGAAAAAGGTAAACACACAGTGGAACTAAACAAACCTATCTATATGGGTATGTCTATTTTAGACTATTCTAAAATTCACATGTATTCCGTCTATTATGATGTGTCAAAACCAAAATATGATGTTAAGATCAAGTTGGTCTATACTGATACTGATAGTTATGTAATCAAGGTTGAGACTGATGACTTATATGAAGACTTTGAGGAGATAGATTAATACATGGATCTCAGTGATTGTCCAGCAGAACATCCAAATCATGATAAATCCAACAAGAAGGTATTAGGGAAAATCAAAGATGAAATGAACGGTAAAATAACTACTCACTTTATAGGATTTAAACCAAAGGCATATTGTTATAAAGTGTACGGTGATGAGAAAGAACAAGAAAAGTAAAGGATTGTCAAGCATAAAGTGAGCAATCAGCTAAGTTACAAAACTTATGAAGAGACATTGAATAAAAACTGTAAAGAAGAGGTCAGTTTTAACACTATCAGAAGTAAGAACCATCAAATTTATAGCATTAATCAGACTAAATATGCCTTAAGCAACTACGGCAATAAACGCTACTGGTATTCAGATTTTGAAAGCCTCCCGTTTGGACATTATGCCAGAAAATATCCATAACGAAAAGATGATTTAAGATATATGGATATATATATATGGTGGTTGATCAATATTCTTTCATCCTGGAATGGCCATTCATCGCGGAAAAAAGATATCTTTCGCGGATCTTTCGCGGCCTCATCGCGAAGCATGGTCCTACAACCATGTCTAGCTAACATGAGCCGGAACATGTCATAATAGGGAGAGACATCTTGCAGCATGACCCCAGTAGATGGTTGAACGTTTCCACAGCTACTCAGGGTCACTTGCAGCATCTGTGCGACAATTGTGCCAAATAGAGTCAGGCACAACTCAACCCAATCCTCGTGTCAGCTACCAACACAGGGTGATGCAGCTTGGGGAATGTGGGGGCCTCAAGCTGGGAACCTAGACTTTAGCGGCACATTCGCGAAACTTTCGCGGATCTTTCGCGAAGTTTCACTGGTGCTTTCCCCGGGACGCCGTGACATTTGCAAACATCTGCACAGCCCGTCAGAGCAGCGGCAGGTCGTTGCCTCACTGTTAGGGCTGCGCCTACCCAGCTTGCTAGTATGTGACAGTGGGGACAGGAATCGGAGAATCCTCTACGCACTGCCAGGGCTGGGCACGGAAAGGTTGAGGCTTCAGTTCGTTAGTTTGTGACATGGGGACACTTCGCCCACTGGCTCTGCCGGAGGATTGCCTTGCGTTTCTATTCTTTGTCAGTCCGGTAGAAAGGAAAACAATGAAAGCGATGACCTTCGATAAATCTTTCGCGGAAAAAAAAGATACTTTCGCGGACCTCATCGCGAATCTTTCGCGGATGGTTCTAACAACATCTGAAAGGCTGTTTTATATAAAACTCCTTACACGGGGTGTTCGATCAACTCCCATATAGATTCAACAATTGAAAAACTATGTCAAAGAATGGCAAAACATAGAAAATTTTAAAAATCTTATCTAAACAAAAGAAATCCCCCAAAACACTATCCTAACTCTATGACATCCTTTGATGAGTTCGGTGTTGAGAACTGTAAAATGGTTCTTATTGAAGAATGCCCACGCCAAAACAGACAGCAACTGGAAAAGAGAGACGGTTAATATATTGAAAATGAAAAGAGCCGCCTTAACAGATGTATTGTTGGTCGGACTACAAAAAGAGGTTTGCGATGCGACAAGAGAGCATCACCTTGAAGAAACGAAAGGGCGCCAAATAATCAAATAAAGAATATTGAAAAATACAAAGAAAAGGACAAACAGCATCATGAGAACAAAAACAAAAACAAGAAAGAAGAAACACTGGGAACAGCAAATAAATATGATGACAATAAATAAAGGTATAGAAGAATGAAACAAAGAAGCAATGAGGCAACCATAAAGAAAAAAATACCACAGAGAGAAACATAAATGCAAAAAGAAAAGAAAGGCGAAAACAGAATAAAGAAAAACAGTTACTAATCAACCAATAGTAATTCATGCCTATTATATTTTTACTCATTCCATCCAATTTAAAATATCTATTATTCATCATATCACGACCAACTAGTATTACTGTATACTTTCTTTTACTCCATTGACTTCTAGTTTCTTTCCTTGATACATAGTTGCCCTTTCCTTTATCAAATATCTTAACATAATCTCCTTCACTTATGTTTGGATTTTTTTGTGCTTTTCTTTCAGTATCAGATTCGTTCTGACCTGAATTACGTTATCAAGATTGTGCGCTTTATTGGGTGTTGTCTTGGTGCTACTGTGGATTTGGTTGTATCTATTCAACGAGGGCTTTAGCACTTCCAGCCATGTTTTGGTTTTGTAACGCCTCAATCTGTCCCCAATCATTTTTTTGACGGTGCGTATCATCCTTTCTGCCTGATTTGCAAGCGTCTTCGTTGTTACGTATGTTATACCGTCCTCCTTAAAGAATGTTTGCAGTTTCTTGCTGTTCAATGCTCCTTCGTCGCCGCTGTAAATCGACAAAGGCTGATCAATACCTTGAAACACCCCATGACTGCTTTATTTTAAACGTCATCACCATCTTTATTCTCGATAGGGACTATGTGACATTTTTTGCTGAATATATCTATGCAAACTAAACCATATCTTAGTACCTTTGATTTCAGAACCTACGTCTCGCAGCAAACTGGTGACATCCGGTCCATCAAGTCAATTTGAAATTCATACTTCGGGAACGGTGCAGTGTAGGAATTAGTAGTTCTTGTAGTTTCTTGTTTGCTTGTTGGGTTGCGCCCTCACCCATGTAGATACCATATCCAAAGTTATGCCTACATCGACTTTCCTAGCCTTTTCGTTTAAGTCCCTCACCGAACCGAAGCCGTCCTCAACGTCGTAAAATATTCTTTCCAATACAGATTATAATTTTATGATATTTTCTTGTCTCATAAAATCATAGGGAACTTACACCAAGCACCTTTGGCACTTCTTCGTTTTCTTGTGCTTTGCCAAGTTTGATTTGCAGCTCATGCAGGCAGAGCCGCATATATCACATACACAAGGTTGTTTCGTTTTCTCTTGGTAATATCTTTGGAAATACTTTTCGTCGTTCGGTTTTCTGCTGTAATATCCGTCCTCCTGCTTTCTCCATTCAGCATTTCTAGCCTTTTCAACAAGCGAACCCTTTTTATTATCACCTTCTTCAGAAGAAGATGTTTCGCTGCCTCATAGTTTTTGTGTTTTGAGCAAGTATGTACATAGTTAAACATGCCTTTGGTATTTTTGGGCTTTGGGAGCTGGGGTTCCGGATAACGAGGCTGGGCTCTCAGGAAATCAGCCACCGACTTTGGGAAAATCAGCCACCGACTCTGCCAAAATCTGCTACCGATTTTGGGAAAATCTGCCACCGACTTTGAGGAAATCTACTATACATATATATAATAAGTATAATATATAGTTGTCTCATTTGTCTCGACTTCAAACGTGCACCTTAGCGCATCACAACTACATTGCGCCATGGTAAATCATAGTAGCATGTGGTGTTGGATTGATTCAAAGTACAATCTGAAGGTTAATGGCAGGTACTGTATGTGACTTGAGAGGAGGGAGACACGAAAGGTAGGACAGCGGGAAGAGAAGAGAACGCGAGAGGCAGGAACAAAAATGCAATGTTCGACATGGTGATTTATCCCCTCGGAGGCGACCTTTCGTAAATATATATGTTCATATGCACTCTAAATGTTCAAACATATGCTCTCGAAATGTTCAAAAAGATTCTTAGGAAAACAAACTTGCCCCATGGCTCAGATCATCGGTGAGCATTGAATCGGAACATCATAGGATTTGAACTATCCTGAAACCATAAAAGGCTCAGAATTGACGTGCTTCACAAAACAAACTCTAGGTATGTATCCCCTCGGGGAACACCTTTCGTGATTTGAATTTCATATTCACTCTTTCTGAATGTTCAAGAGGGTTTCAACTATCCTGAAATCATGAGAGGCTCACGAAGACGTTCTCCAGGAGAGAATTGATTTT